AATTTGAGATTGCCGTCATTGTGATTATATGTCTCTTTCCTCAAAACATGTATAAATAACCTTCGTAATCGACCATAGGTAAAGACTTTAGACTTCAACTTTGTTCGTATGTCCATAATAAGGTTCAAACTCTCAGTCGCATTGTTCATATTTATTTTATGATTTATTCGTTTTATTTTTTGTGATTTCTGATTTATTTATTTATTTCTATTTCTTTATCTTATTTTGTTATATTTATCCTTTACATATTTATTTCTTCATCACACAATTATACCATACTTTATTATTTAAAATAAAGTTTCATTTTAACACAAATACTTAAAAGTTGTGTTACATATAAATAATTTATCTTTTCGTGGTTCTATATAATATTTTACCTCTCAAGTTTTGCTATCTTATTAATAAATTGATAATAAATTGATATCATTGAACATTACTCCCAAACAAGATCTCAATCATTTTAATGTTGCGAGTCAACCTTCTTTCTTTCGATTTTATCCCGCAAAATTTATAATAGATTTATATTTAAAATTCAAAACATAAAATTCTCCGGAAGAAATCATTTCAGTTTTTAAATCACTTCATAATTCAAGGTCACGCAATATCATCGATTAGTTATTAATTTATTCAATTTAAAGCTCCATTTCCCAAATGGAAGAATTATGACACAGAGCCCCTCATCTCCGGATAATATGACAATTTAAACTTATAAATTGATGAACGAGAAGAAATAAATTATTGATATTCCTATATTTGCGTATAGTACTATAATAATAGTAAAATGGCAACATTCGACGAAAACTATATTTCTGTTGTAATAAACAATGATGTGAATGAAAAAAAAGTTGGCTTCATAAAATATAATTATGCACTTTTTATAACTATAAATACGCTAGGCGTATTATATTGTACCCTAGGATTTGGCATGATATATGGAGGTGAAGATTGGAAAGGTGTCACTAGTTTAATTCTTGTTTGTACAGCTTTTATATTTTACTGCATCTGTCCTTTTTTTATTGGTTATGGCATAACTAAGGCGAAAAGATATAAAATAGTGAATAATACAGAACTTCAGGAAATAGTTACTTCACCTCCAGTAAATACTACTACAGTAACCATGAGCGAAGAAACAGCTGATGAAATTACAAATAATCAACAATAAAATAAAAATATTCAGAAACAATTAGTTAATTCTTCTCAATTTGCAACAGGTAGTCAAAATGAAAAGAATAATAACCAATTTGAGATAATAATTTATAATTATTGTCAAAAATATGCATGTGCATCGAGTTGTTTTGGGAAATAATGTAATATAATTACAGGTATTCTGTCCCTGCTACCACGCGCAACAGTGTTGGCAGAATATGGACATGGGCAATATGTACCAATGGACATGAATATTTATGGACTATGTCCATATTGTCCATATTGTCCATATTTTTTTTATTGGACATAGATATAGTCCAAAAAAAATCGAATGCTTTACTATTCCGAAATATTACGGAGAGAAAGTCATTGTACGTAAAATACGGACAACATTTCGAAAGATCTTAGCAAAGAAGACATGAGTGACCATAAGGTGATTACCTTTATTCCATGCAGGATATTGGAGAAATCCGTAAATTGCCCGTCACTATGTCAGGATACTTTTTTAAAAAAATTTTTTTGAACATTGATCAATATATATACAAACTATGGTCATGGACACTATTTGGATTAGTCCATTTCCAAATAAAATTTTTATTGGACATAGTCCAAATGCCAATACTGACGTGCAAATACCAGACCATAATGCAGATTTTGAGAGTATCAATAAAAAGTGCCAATGAATCCTTTTTAGTTGTGAACTAAATTCTTGAATGTCGTCACGATAGGTTATCTCGAACTTTTCTTCCTCAATTCATTACGCTCTGACCATCAAAACTATACCTACCGAACGTAATGCGCACAATGTTAATTCTCGTAACTGTCGTCCCAACAGGTCACAATTTATGTAATTCGACAGGCCAAAACCCATTGATCTCCACTAAATAACGATTATTAATTCATCACTCACTTTTCATCAAATAATAGTACATGTCCGAGCTAGTGATGGGTGACGAAATTGACGTAATTTGACGAAATAAATATTTCGTCAATTTCGTCACTATGAAAGTAATTTCATCACATATAATTCACAATTTCGTCACCCATCTATAGCACGAGTGTAATACATAGTCTGTGCATGCATTCTTTCTTGACCGTCATCCCGACAGACCATCTGCTAAAACTAAAATCTCGACCCAAATCTTACCGAAAATCGCTCGTTAGGCCACGTACGAGGACGAAGGAGGACAGGACGAAAAAAAACAGACAAGTTGGTTAGCAGGAAAACAGAAATTATCTTGTTTGAAAAAAAAACATTGTTCCTCTAATATTCCCTAACGATTACAAATTGTGACAATATTTGTCGAATAACGGTAAGTTGGCAAACCGTGGCAAATGAACACGTGCCAATCATTTGCCCGGTTGAGCCAAATTACCGTACTGTATTCGACAAATTGCCCAATATTGGTGTTATCCGGCAATTTATGATCATGGTTGATAGGGAGTCATCGACTGAGTTTTAATTTTAATAAACATGATTACATCGTAACACGTGAAAAAAATAACAAGACAGATGGCAATTCATGATCATAAGAGTTTGCCGGATAAGTATTGATATTATCCCTAAACATAATTGCATAAACTGTATTACTAAATAATGCATAAAATTTTATATAATTATTTATTTATAAAAAGAGCCTTCACCAATAAAATTGTAAGATTTGGTGTAATATAAAATTAGTTTACAATATCCTTGGACCAAATCTTGCAAGAAGTCTTTATTGTGTTTTAAGTTTTTGTATTTTGAATATAAAACATGATAATCTAAATACGCTCTTTACAATATATATTTTAAATTTTGTTATTTATATATATCGTGTGACCCTCTGCAAATGAATAACCTGTCTATATGGATATTGGTCCTCCGACAGTATTCGCTTAGACAAGTTTGGCTGTATATGAATATATGCGAATCACCAGTTAAACGGTTCCAATTTTACAACAGTTTTCAGTAATGAATAATTGCTAAGAAATCACTGTTTGGTATTTGCTTTCGAATGGTGATTTTAAATTTTTTTGACCATAGAATCGATAATTTGCCAAACCAGAATAAGTTACTGACATCTGCCGACAATAGGTTTATCGATGTGTTTATTGTCAACTTTTTCAGTTGTCCTAGGATTTATGAAGACAGCCAGGGAAGTGGGGATCTTACGATTCAGTGTCTCTAAGGAGTTTACGTCTATAAAATTCTATAAGCATTTGTTTCTTAAGATCGCAGTAAAACACAAAGATCCCACGTCCTTGGAAACTGCTGTAAGATGTCAATATTATTTCACCTACAAGTCATCTAATTACATACATGACGTGACTATTCACAATAACGGATGCTAAAACTAATATGTTAAATTGTTATGCAAATTGATCTCAGTTAAAGTTCTATGTAGTCAGTGAAATGGCTGAAGTAATTACCATAGTTTTTAAGTTATGGCAATATATGTCTACATCTATGCTGGAAACCAGATCGTAAATTTCTTAGAGTAAGGCTTAAGTTTCTATTTGTATCAACTAATTTTACTAAAAATTCTATCCAATACGCATTTTTCGGTAATAAATGCTATACAATCTTTACAGCATGGTTGATTGGTTAATGATCAGCGACCAATTATAAACTTCATTTTATTGACTTATCACAAGAAAGTTATCCTATTAAGTAATTGCTAGAGCAAAAATGTTCAAAAATTAAATCTTATTTATACACGTATACATATCAAATATAATACAGGTTACCCCGTCAAAATGCATCATTTGACATAACTATTTAATTTGCAATATATTCTTCGTCGTGCCTATTAATCTATAAGTTCTTCCTCGAAATCTTAGGGCCTCAACAAAGTGTGGCTCAATATCTAAGAACAATTTGGTTGAATCCTCAAGAGATTTTTCATGTAATAAGTATTTCTACGCATTTTAAACTAATACTATCATTTGGTTCGATCTCTTAAGTAATTAGTGGATGATTTTCTAAAAAATTCCATAACAAATCCAAAGAGGTCTGGAGACATAGGAAAAGGCTTTTTATCGTTTTATTCGAAGAGACATTCTAATACATTATTAAGTCTTTTGTCAATTCTAAAATAACTAAATATATTATTCCGTTAGACATTATATAAAACGTTACAAAAGTTTAGAGTGTCCGGTCAATTTACATATGCACTATCTTATAGCACCTCCGCTTATGTTATATGGCTTCCTTTAGCGTTAGATTATTGAGTCGCGAGCTTGTACTTTAAGGTCAAGTTAACTATTTAAAAACTGGATGAATTCTATCTCTATTTCTTGTCCAACATGATTGAATGACTAAAAATAACAAAGGCATTAAAACATTAAGAAAGTTCAGAATTCAGATGATTACATATTCAAATAAGTGTTTGATTCTTTACATGAATAAAGAATTACAAACATAAGTCTTTTTATTGATTTATCAAACAAAAAAAATACACATGATATTGTCTTATTCATGATGAGTACATTATATTCTTGCAATTAAAACCAAGCAAAAATAAATTAAAAAGCAAAAAGATATAAATATCAAACAATCTGAAATACAAAAGAACATTCGTTCTGAATGTTAAAGAAAGGGTTATTGAACAGCAATGCGTTTTGCAGGAGTGCTCTCAGTACGTGGTAGCTAATTTATTAAATGATTATAAAATAAAATAAAAATTATTAATGTAAATTTTGATGCACATTATAAATTAAAAAAATTCTCTTACTCTAATTTCAAGAAGCCCATTCTCAAATTTTGCCTTAGCCTTCTCAATATCTACCTTAATAGGAAGAGGAATGGTGCGCTGTATAAAAAGCAAAGGTGGAATGAATATAGATCTTTAAACATTAAAAATATATAGATCTCATTGATTCACCATAAAACGACCAAAACGACGTTCTCTTGTCCACGCAGTTCCAGTATTATATGTATCATCTGGTTTATTTTCGCCACTAACGACTACATTGCCTCCACGAACATCCACTATTCGTTAAAAAAAATAATAATAGACGATAAAATAAAACCAAGTACCAAAATATCAAATTTATAATTTAAGAAATGCGATAGAATTAAACATACCACAAACATTATCTTTGGGAATTCCAGGAAGTTCCGCTATATTAAAAATATAAAATTTTTAGAAAAAAGAAAAATTTGAATCTATAAAATTTTAGATCATTTTCGAAATACCAACCATGAACAACTAATTCATTCTCAAGTTCACGCACTATATCAAAAAAAAAAAATAGTATAAATGAAAATGAAACAAAGATAATGAGACGAAGATAACTCGCTGATATGTATAATATTTACCATCAACACGAGGTGTCCAAACACCAAAACGAATACCTGTCGTAGAAGAACGATTTGTATCACCCCAAAGGTCAGAAAATGCACGGTCTACATCACGACGAAAGCGCGATATCAAATCGTCAAGAAACGAATCACTGTATTGATCTCGTGAAGCAGCAGCACCGCGACTGCTCATTGTTAAAGCAATAATCACAATAGTTGTATTATTGGAACTAAAGATAGTTCTGAATCGATTTATATATATTTATAATGAAGATGACTTTTATTAATTTGTCTAACTATTACATCAATCGCCTTTGAAAAAAATGTAGTCAAATATACGTGGATCATAACATTTGATTTTATACTCGATAAATAAATTAGAACACAGAATAGCATGTCACATAAACTTGACGATATACGTCGTTTTTGAAATGGTAACTTGAATTTGTTTTATTATATACAATATTTTTTACATTGCCTAGTTTAAAATTACCACTAAGTAAATAAAAAGGTAACACAAAAAAAGTTTGTTTATTATCGTTATTATCGTTATTAAAAACAAATGCAACGCTAAAGCTTACTCTTGTCAAAAAACAGTTTATTATGCACAATATTAATGTAATGGACTTAAAAAAGTCTTTACAAATGCATCCAAGGTGCATTGCTAATGGTCTAACTGTTACTAAATATCACATGGTCGAATAATTTATATAATAAAGATAATAAAACATAAATAGTTGTTTTAAAGAAACACTTTTAATATATTTTATACATTTTATATTGTATATTTTCTTTGAGCAGTTGAAAATATTAGCACTTGCCAATTGATCTGCTTTAAGATCAATGACATGAAATTAGTAAACTAGTGCTTTAGTCATCGATTAGGTCGGGTCAATCTGAGCTAGACCTAGGCTTTACAAGTTTACAAATTTGATATATC